TGAATGAGTCTATTTCTGATACGAATACGAACATGACTATGTTTCTGATTTGATAAGAGATTTGAAATCTGATTTCTGAATTTGTTATAGACATCATTTATTAAAATCTTTATTCTGTTATCTGTTATTATTCACTAGGCTCCAGCTCATTGTATTATTTATGTATGTAGGTGACTAGGCGCATGACCAAGCTCAGTGATGTTTGCCTGGAGGTCTGTGTTGTTGGCTAACCGTTGTGCCTCTCGAGGAGGTTCCAAAAAGAGTTTAGTGGTCGAGTTTTGTGAACCAAGTTATAAGAGTTAGACTTTTGTTGTTTTGTAACAGTTCTTTTGTCCTATTTTGCGTGTTATAACAATGTGGAATGGTTATATATCTGACGTCATATATGGGTTCATGTATATGTTTTAAATTTGTATGTCACAGCTCTATGGACTATGTATGTTTTATATTTGCTTCCGCAACCCCTTATATTTGATGTTCAAGTCAGAGGCCTTTGGTAATCCCAGAATTACTGACCGATTACGACGTAAAACCTATAGAGGCAGGTGTAGGTCGTGAGATATACTTTCTCCCATCCACTAGTACACAGGTGATGAAAGCGAATCTAATTATTTGCTATTGGAGCTATTGGATGACCAAATTGCAGATAAACCTATAACAAAGACATCAATAAGTAGAATTACAAAATAAGATGCAGTAATGATCTAAGTAGGCTCGGTAATTACCTGCACGAAATGGTTTCCATTTACAAATCCTATGCAGATATCTCTTCAATCGAGTGTTGCAATCGGTACTAATCTAAGTGGTAAAAACGTCAAGCACTGTTGCATGGATAAATGATAAAGAACGACTCGATAGTATCATACTATGAAATGGCCTGTGTCAGGCATAGTCATCTAATGATTAAATCTAAAGTCAGGTTCGAAATAGGATAAGATAGAGGCAAGATCATCAACCCTTTCTTGTGAACCAAATAGTTGCACGTAGTACACTACATTCGAATGCAGCTCAGCCAACAAGTTTCTCCTAATTTGTTGCCAATCATTTTCACTTAAACAAATCAATCCAGCTAATAGTTGCACGTAGATTGCCTTCATTGTTGTCGCATTAAAGGCATTCCTTCATTTTAATGTAACCAATATATTTTTTGGTTACACCACACGTTATTTCACATGTCAACTAACAATGATGTTTTCTTCTTAGATAATCTGCCAACAAATGAGTGCCCTTCAAGATGTTCAGTATCCGGATGATTGTGCATTTCGCATAAGACAAGCAATATCTACTCATCATTTGTAGGTAATTTTTCCCCCCTTAATGGAAATAAACATCCACACTTTTTAAAACTTATCAACCTCAATCGTTCCCCCTTGAACTTCCTGTTGTTTCAATAGTAACCACTTCTTCCACAAGCAAGTGTTAGGTATTGGTTTTCTGTCATTACCTCCCGCATCTGATATTTTTGTTACAATGACAAATCCAATCTTCTTCCCAATATCTGAAGTCCATTTAATTAATGTTTGACGACTATTAAAAATCTAAAAATAATAAATACATGTATACAACAAATTATTAATCAAACTCAATACAAATTAAAAATAAGAAAAAATCGTATTCATAAAAAAAAATATAAAAAAAAAACACCTTAACAAACATCATCCGTAATGAATTCATGACTGGAGTCCACTAATAATGCAGGACTTGCATTGTTGCAATGAGTAGAAGCATAATCATTCAAAGTAAAAAAATATAAAAATATTAAAAAAAAAATGAAACTTAAAATGCACAGTAATGAGTAGTCGAACAAATTAAAAAAGTTCGACCTTCGACGTTACCGGAAATGTATCCTTATTCGGCAGTTGGTTACCAGACGTATATTTTTTGTTCAACAATGTAATGGCAAACTATTTTATTTTGTTCTATTTTGAAACACCGAACAAAAGTCAAAGAACAGTCGAAAAAACGAAACAAAAACATACCAAACAAATTAAAAAAAAAAAAAACTCATAATTTCACTTTTTTTTATGATTCTTCACCACCATTTCTTCATCCATTGCTTTCTTCTATGACCAAAACAATATTATTCTCATTTTTTGAAAAGTAATGTGTAAGAGAGATGAAAAATTGAGAAAGGTAGAAAATGAGTAGGGATTGAAGATTAAGGGGTATAAGGAGATAATAAAATATATTTAATTTTAGTGTTTTGTCTTTAAAGGTAATTTCACACATGAGTAAAATTGAAAATATATATATATATATATATATATATATTCTCATATGAAGAGTATAAAGAAGTAAAATAGTGGTGCAAGTAAAATCACATTACACCAATTAAGGTGTTGGCTTTATTGGTATAATTTAGTAAAAGAACTACTTATAAATAGTAAGTTTATAAGTACTTGTTTGCAAAATAATGCCATATAACATTTAAGGTTAAATTCTAAATATTTATAAGATAATAAGTTAATTAATTGTTTGCAAAATAATCCCATATCTATTTTATCCTATAATTAAAATCATGGGTCATAGCAATCACGTTGTTACTAATACACTTCAAGCCGGTATAAATAACCAGTAAATCTGCTGTGAACTTGTAGTTTGCTCTTTCAAAAAATGTATAACTAGAAAATAAGTATTTGTACCTCCTTCGTCTCAAAATATTAATTTTTTATTTTATTTTTCGTTGTCTCAAAATATTAATTTTTTAAAAAAAATTAAGAATTAAAATAATATAAATTTCTTATTTTGCTCTTCTTTTAAATTTATTAACAACACAAAAAAGACAATTATGACAACTGATATTTCCAAAAAAAAATATATACTGTTAAAGGTACTGCACCATATAAGAGTTTTAGAAACCAAATATTTTGGTCTTTAAAAGAAAAAATTTTGTTGCAAAAAACATTTAGAAACCAATTTCTATCATCATAAGAATAGTCACTAAAAGGTCATCCCGAAAAGTCAAAAACAAAGCTTTTAGTGACAAAATTTTGAAAATGTCACCAATAAATAGACTTTTAGGGACAAAATAATTTGGTCTAATAATAGTTTATTTTTTTAGACAAAAAATTTGGTTCCAAAACGATAATAATTCATCACTAATGTCTAATTTTTGTTACTAAAAATATAAAAATGACACTTTTCGTAACCAAAATATTTGGTCCCTAAAAAGAAATTTTGTTCCTAAATTTTGGTCTCTAAAACTTTAATTTTTTGTAGTGATGGTAATTTTGAAAAATTAATATTTTTAAAGTACAATAAAAAAAGTTGAATTTTCCAAAAAACACTATTATTTTAAGACAGAGAGAGTAGTTATTGTTGGAAAAAAAATTACTCATAAATCGTGTTTAGGAAAATGTTAGTCCATTTAGACTTACATATTTTTTTATAAACTAATTAATTCTTTTTATTTGTAGTATGTATTATTGATTTTACTTAGTAGTATAAGAGTTTACTTGTTTTTCCTTATTTGAGATTTGGTTTTGATTTTTTCTTTTTGGGATTTGGGTGTATGTAGGTAAGGTATGATTTAAGAATTTCATTTTTTTAGAGATTTCGTGGAGTGATTGTAGGAATTGTTGATGTTACTTACTCTTTTTTTTTTTTTTTGAACAGCGAAAAGGTTTTTTTTTTGAACAGCAAAAAGGTCCTTTATTGATGTTGAAACCATACAAACATATGAACATCAAAGAAAGGATGATGAACATCAAACATATGAACATCAAATTGTTGATGTTACTTACTTGGTGTAATAGTATTGATATTATCCTCCCACTGACTCCCAACAATACTAACATTGCAAGAGATCCAAACAATCATAACAACGTTAAATAAAAACAAATCGTCGGTTAGAAAATATACATGCACAATATCACATTTGTAATCACTGGTAACTCCCACACCCGCAAAATAATAACATTACATGAGACCCAAACAATCATACAAATATTAACTAAAACACCATGCGTCTGCCACATTACGTACATGCACAACATTACATCTGGTGTCACTGGTAATCCCCAAAACCATGATGTTAACAACATCACTTAATACCCCACATTATGCACCATTTAAATAACATCTCATTTCGAGCATCAACCTTAATGTCGTATTGTTCCACAAACAACCAAAGTAACATCGAAGATACACATACCTGCTGTCATCGCACCAATACACGATTAATGTTGCCGCTGACGAATTGATGTGAAATCGTTGATGTTACGTTGACAATGTTAATCGCACTCTTAGATGTCCCAGTGCCCATGTCGCTTCACCTCTGTAAATTTGCTAGAAGGGGTTTTTGGATTTTCTTAGATTTTGAAGGGGTTCTGTAATGTTATTTGTGGAATAAAGAATGCTAGGTGCAACATTACCAAATCTAGCATCCAACTCACACAAAATGAGAATCAACATTGCAACATCTACAAGGAAACGTTAAAGTTCTAATTTTTGAGCTTCCATTTTATTCGCAATGGAGGGAAAAGGAAAAAATTGCTATAGTATGCTTTTGGACATTTTGGTAAGTACAATATCACCTAAACACTCAATTTACCCATCTAAACAGCCAACCCAAGCATTACATTCGTGGGCTTAAGTGTAAATAACATTGACTTGGGATTTTTCAGTTTACAAAATAAATTGTAATATTATATGGTTCAAACTATCTAAACTTGAGATTTATTGATATTTTCTCCTTATTTTTGTTGGAACAATAGAAAAGCTTTTTCTTTCCGTATTCTCTTCCTACTTAATAATAAATAAATGAAAAATGTTTCATTCTTTAATTTTTGTTCCCCCTCACTCACCCAACGATATAACAAATAATATTAATCAATTAATTTTCTTTAAACTTTTCGTTTTCATTTTAAAATTATTTATCACGTTATTAAAAGAAATTTGGAAGGAAAAAAATTGGGAAGTAATGTGTTGATCTCAATAAATATATAAAATAAAAAGACCTAAGAGTTTTAAAACCACTAGACAAAATTCCTGACATAGTTGTGTGCTTGTCTACACGGCTACGTGCCATCTCAATAATACATTGAATAGTGTTTCACAGAAACCCAAGAGGCCACATATATTTATGTTATTATGATGAATATGAAGCAACAACAAATGTTCACAAACACCAATTGGGAAGTTGGGACAGCCATGGAAGACCATATCCTCCACCATCAACTTCCCTTTGATGCACTAACTAATTGGCCTCTCAACTACCCCCTCCAAAATCATCAAATTCCTTCTTCTTCTTCCTCATCAACCCAATTACCCACCTCCTCCGGTCACTTACTCTCTGGTGATCAAATGGAAAATCATCATCCTCATCATCATCATATGGAAGAAGAAAGAGAAGGAGAAAGGGAAGAAGAAGAAGCGGAAGAAGAAGAAGAAGAAGAAGAGCCAGAAGAAGAAGAGCTAGGAGCCATGAAAGAGATGATGTACAAGATTGCTGTGATGCAACCAGTGGACATAGATCCTGCTACAATTCGAAAGCCGAAAAGGCGAAATGTGAGAATCAGTGACGACCCTCAAAGTGTAGCCGCAAGACACCGGCGAGAGAGGATAAGTGAGAAAATCCGGATTCTGCAAAGGCTTGTCCCCGGCGGAACCAAAATGGACACTGCATCCATGCTTGATGAAGCAATTCACTATGTCAAGTTCCTTAAACGCCAAATTCGACACCTTCAATCCAATCACCACCCTCCTCCACCACCACTACCACCACCATCTATAGGAGAATATTGGGCAGTTGCACTACCCAACAAGGCAATTGGGTCTACCACCTCCCTGGAACCTCCTTATCCTCCTGAGACACCCGGATATGACTTCAGAAGCTCCACCACCATCGTCACTGCCACCGCCACCACCACTGGTGATCCTACATGCTTTAAACTTAACTACTTAATTAATTAGTGTATAATATCAGCAAGTGGGTAGTGATTATTGTGTGCTTTATTGGGATAATAATGATTTATATTGTGCTTGGTGATTATATATTTCAATTTTAAGGGTTTGTTATTTTATGTTGGGGGGTTTCATCACTCATGTGAACCAAAAGGTTTGTTAGGATTGTGTTGACTAAAACGCTTCCGAATAATCATAACGGTTATCTTGAGTTACGTACATCCACATCTCTCTCTCTATATATATATTAAAGTAATAATAAGGGGTATGAGTCCTTGCCGGAAAGTTAGTTTGGCCGACACTCTTCCGGGAATAAAACAGTGACGTTATGAGCTATTCAATATGATTACTATATATTATAATTATACTTTCTCTCTCTCTATATGTGGATGGATGTGTTTAAGGGCACATGTGATGTAAGGAGCATATATGCGTATCATTTTTTTTTATCAATAAAAAAAATGAAATTAACATATAGTAAATACGTTAATACATCAACAATATATATATATATATATGTATATCAGGATATCTATATATATAGGTGATGTGATTACGTTTCATCATTATGAGAATGAGAAAAAGGATGGATGGATGATGATATATCAGACTCCTATTCCTTCCTATATGGTAATTATGATGAGAGAGTAGCTACCAAAATGATTATTTCTTACTGTACGGATTAAAAACCCTTTAAGCAAATGAAACCCTACACGCTTTTTGCATATGTATAGTTCCTCTCTACATCTTCATCATTGTACAAATTTCTATAAAACTAAATATTCTTCAAGCCTTTGCATATACATATATAGCTATCCATATAAGTGGGTGGTATGTATTTCATAAATTTGTTCGTTTAGTTATGTTTATGTTTATGTTTTGTGACCTTAAGATAAAAAGAGATATTTAATTATGACATATTGTGGTGACTCGAGTATAACTGGTGATATTAATTATGAGTTATTGTCATTATTATTTTATTTATGATTGAGAAAGTGTTTGGGCATATTTTATGATTCATTATTTTTTTAGAAAAAATCACAGCCCAATGATCATTTCAAAAAAAAAAAAATTCAATTAAGTGCTAAATGTTATAATTTTAATAATTAAATTTATAAATTTTTGATTAATATGTAAATATTTTGTGATAGTGTTATCTCAGTTATTTTTCTTTTTTTCTTTTTAATTATGATTGAAAATTATTTAGTTATAACATTTATGGTAATCAACATCACAATTTTCATAACTTGTGTGTATTATATATACACACACATATACTTTGGTGTTGTGAATATGCATAGGTATATGGGTAAGAAATTATAGATTGTTTTGCAAATTCAAAGCTAGAAAGAACTATCGTTAAGGTACAACTTGTTAGATAGAAGGTCGAGAGTATTGTATCAATGACTAATATTCTGATAAATTTGTGTTTTGAGTTTGTATTTGTTTACTTTCAAATCACTTTGGATTCACACTCTCAAAAAATGAGTTAAGAAATCTTATCTTTTTCAAAACCCTTTCTATGAAAGGAAATGATCATTCATTTCTTTTTTTCATTTATTAAATGATCAGTCTCTTACAACAGTATTGATATATTTTTTAATGAATTCAACTTAAAGATACACATTAAGAAGGAAAAATCATTATTTTCAATATCAATCTAGTTGGGTTTGTTTTGATTTGATGTGATGTTTGGTGCACTCTTCCTTTTTTTTTTTATTGATGTCTTTGTATCAATGTGTAATCATCGATCTCACAATAAAATTTCTTTTTTGATCATTAAAAAAAAAAAAAGAAAAAAAAAAGGGAAGCCCGAGCAAATTGAGTTGATATAAACTAATCGACAAACTTAATACAATGAGCTAAATGGAGAAGATTATGAGAAGCTGGCATCATTTTTCTAGTGCAATGATGCACAATTGTATATTTTGGGGAAATGAAGGAAGCTAAGTTGTTGTTCCATTATTAGTGTTTTGGGTTTATGGTTTTCTTCGTCATCCATTGCCATCTGCAATCACTACTTGAATTTAATTTGAGTTGTCAGTGTCTTTGCTGGCACGCAGCACTATTTCCTAGTTACTGATGACGAGGGAGTTGCCATTTTTCTCACCTCTTAAATTCTTCTTCTTCTTATTCTTTGTTGCACGTCATTTTTTATTTTTATTTTTTAATTATTTTTTTTTTAAAAGAACAATTGATCGGCCATTTTTCAATCAAAAATAAATCACTCTACATGAAACTAATTTCATAGACTAGTAGTTTGTCTAGGTATTTGTAGACGTCCCGAACGTCCCGACAGAGAAATCTTGTTCTGTTCATATTAGGTTCATTACAGTTCCGACTCAAATTGTTACAGTCCTGTATCTAATCTCGCAGAGTGCAATGCAAGATCGATGAATCATTACAGAGTCCAAATCCGGCAAATCGTTTTAGAAAACAGATTTTTTAGAAAGAAGTGCCAAACGTGGACTGTTTTGCCAGATACAGAGTCGCCACCTAAATATTTTATTTTAGGAGAATTTAGGAAACCCTAACTCGTTTTCCTAAGGCCACGTGTTCGTCATCACCAAAGTTGCCTCAGCTCGGGAACTTGGATACGATTGGGGAAGGTCGGCTATGAGCATCCCCGCTCGCCCGAACCGAAGATCGGCCTCTAGTAACCATGATATCGAGTTTTGAAAACATTACGCGTTCTTATTCCGGTTATTAACCTAGAATTACTATGTGATGCGCGCAGCAAAACAAGTATAGACTGTGTCGCCTGAATTGGAAAAAAGCATTTCATGTTTGTTTTGAAAATTGTTTGCTACTCGCAAGTAGGCTAAAATGCAGGTTTTGCCACCTGCAAGTGGGCTTAAAAAAGATGGTTTTGCCACTATTTAGTGGGCTTAAAGCTCACAGTTAATGCATTATTCCAATTCAGGTAATTCAACCTCCACCCACAGACACTCATCACATAAGCAAGTAGCCTTATGGTAAGCATGTTGTCATGGCAGTCACTCACATGCATGCAGTGATGCTAAAGTATAAACACTTATCGAGTACTCCAAGCCAATACAGAAACTTGTTAGTAATCATATGCATGATCCTAATTCATGTTAAGATGGCTAATGCAACACATGCATGATGCAACTACAATAGGCTCGGCTATTCTAAGATGGCATATGATGATGCTACAGCTAACACGTATTCAACTCGGAATTGAAATACTATGCAGTTAATATGATGCGCCGAGCCCGGTGCATGCAAGACAAATGTATAGATGCACGCATACATAGCATAAGGTATGCTAATTTAAATATGCCCTAATACTAATAATTGAAAGCAAGTAAGTAAAAGGGAGAAAGAAATGGGATTGGAAGACACGCACACACGCACGCACACTTATTACACAATTGCCCTAGCTCGAAGGGTCCGAAATACTAATACAGGCCGAATAATGAATTAACTATCCTAGCTAATTAATTATTACAAAACTTCTAATTAATTAACAAATTAATTACAAAAAAAAAAAACAGCCTAAATATGAAACTAAAGAGATCGTCGCAGCTCTGCCTCGGAATGCTTGGATGATGCATGCTTGACTCTCCTTGCTCGGAAACCTGGTACCATGCCACTGTTGCCTCTGTTTACACTAACTTACGCCTCTGAAAATTATGAAAGTTTCCAGGACCCTTCTGAATAACTCCCTGAGTGTTGTGGGATGCCACCGGCCATGATAGAGCATTACCGGCTATGAAAATGTGGCCATCGGCCAAAAATTGAACCACCGACTGGACTTTGGTAGTCGGTTGGCACTGTAAGTGGCCGGCTGGCCATTCCTTCCTGCAGAACCCTGTTTTGACAGCAGCAGAGGACAGACAGTGCATGGCATGGAAATTTCAAAGCAATGTGTGCATGGCCACTCTCTCAATCATGATATGAACTCAAGGGAGTGTGGCCCTTGGTCCTCGGGCCACCAATCACGCATTTCGATGCATGATGGCCAAAGGCACCAAGCTTGTAAATCAATGTAAATGCATGTGACAAAACAAATGAATGCCTCATGCCCTATCATGTTGAGATCAAGGGCATCGGCGACTGAGGGTTGAGACGTGTTTCGTCACTTGGAGTACGAACGCACCTTACCCCTCTTGCTTGGTTTGACACCCCAAACCAAGCAAAATGTAATGCATGTATGCAACATGGCTCAAACATGCGAAGTAGCTCAAGTATGCCATATGAGACTAAGGTAATGAACATGCCAAATGCAATGTGCCAAACATACAAGATGCAATGCCATGCAATCTATCATGCAAGCTAGGATATGAAACGCAACTAGCTAAACAATATGCAAATGTGCAAACATGATACAATGCAAGCATGATACCAAAGCAATGCAACACATCAAACATGCAATTATATGCAAAGATGGACTTACACCGAGATGGGAAAGCCTCAGCCCATCCCAAAACAGTGGCCAAGAATACTAAAATAATGGTGCTAATCATGCAAAATAAACATGCCAACCGAAGGGCCTAAGACTAAGGCATGAAAGAAAACTCTCAAGAAAACTCAAAGGTGACAAAAATAGACATTAAGCACTCATGTTAAACTATGAAAAGCATGCGAAGGATGATGCCAAAACATGCTAGGGAATGGGTGTGAGATAGAAGACATTCAAGGCCATAAAGAAAGCATTACTCAACACCTACCCCAAGCAAACATGGCATGGATTTTTCAGTGCAAAACAGAGTTTTATTGTGCAAAAATGAGCCCCAAAAGCCTCTGATATGGCAGCCCAAAGCCTCAAACACATAGGCATGCACAAAAGCCCCAAACATGGAGCATAAGACCACATCTCTTTAAGGCATTGAAAGGGTAACAAATGCAATTATGTAAGCATAAAACATGAACTGAAATTGCATAATAAGTGACTCCAAATCACTAAAATAGCCCAACTAAAGCATGCTTATGACTCACACACCCAAGGCTCACAAGCCAAAATGCATGGAGGCTATACAAATCATAGCAAGCATGGGCAAATCAGTACCCAACAGACCTTAAGCATGGCAAAATAATGCTAAAACCTTCTTGGAACCAAACCAAAATCATGCTAGAATGTCATCTCATAACATAATACATATTAGACCAAAACATGAGATTACAAGGCAAGCATATAATGCATGAAATGGATCATTAATCCGACCAAAAACAGTGATATAATATGACCAAATAATATCCAAAAACCTCTGAAATGGAGCCAAAAACAACTAAGCATGCATGCTACCCTTGTGAGCCAAAAAAAATGAATAAA